GCTTTCACATATACTGATCCCTCTCTATGGACTATGGTCAATATCCTTCCACCTCCATTTTGCTTAGTTCTTTCTTCTTAAGACTCAGCCCATGCATTAGTCACTTCCTCCAGGAAGCCTTCTATGCACCTCTCCGATCAGGATTATATGCCTGCTCCTCCTCTTCTACTGTTAATGCTCTCTATTCAGATCACTACCATGACACTTATCAAACTGAACCATAATTATAGGTTCATTCTTCAGTCTTTCCGAATATACAATGAACTTCTTGAGGCAGAGACTGTTTTTATTACCTTTCTATTTCCAGTGCCTAGTGTAATATCTGCAAAACTACAAGGTAGTCAATAAATGTTTGCAGAAAAGAATAGCATTCATTAGTAAGAGGATCATTATTTTATTTTCTGAGCATTACTGCCATTTAATTAAAAAAATGAGAAATATAGCTTACTACAAATGTTCAGACCAGTACAGGACTATGATTATATGGCCAAAGAATAAACTGTCAACTCTGGGAACAGCTAAAAGTAAGAAGGCCATGGGAAGTACTGGAGAGTACAACTATAGTTTTATTAGCACACATCATCTTCTACAGGCTACCCAGTTACTAGTGATGCTTCAGTAGTGGTAACTTGTTCTGTTTGAGAAAGTATTTGGGTACCATGGTGATAAATGCTATAAAACTGATGGGATAGATTCGCAGCCAATAGAGAATTTAATGAATCTTTAGAAAGGAAAAAAGATGGGACACTTGGTGGTTGCCAGTTGCAGTCTGGACCCCACGCACTCTTGCACCTTGCTCCATTTCCTCCACGACTGTGTCTAACAAACCAGACATGGCTGAGGATAAGAAATTTGATAAGGTGAAACTGAAGAAGATAGAAACACAAGAAAAAAATCCACTGCCTTCAAAAGTAACAACGGAACCGAGAAGCAAACAAGCGAATCATAATGAAGCATGTGCCACCAATATGCACCATACATGCCATTAGCACTGCCTTCTTATTTTACTTCTTTTTAGCTATTTAACTTTGTAAGACGCAAAGAGGCTGGATCAAATTTAAGTGACTCTACTGCCCATTTTCACAATAAAGAATCAAGAACTACTGGCAGTGAAGGCCAAGGGAAGGAAAAGAAGTTGAACACTGAAAGAAGCAGCTGGGTATTCTGTGAGATTCAGAGTAAAAAACCAAGTGGGTCCAACATGTCCTGTTAGGCTGTAATACGCCGTTTAATCAGAGTGCCATTTTTGTTGTTGTTCAAGTGATTTTAATTATTGGAATGCACAATATTTAATATACAAATATGTGGGGGGGAATTTTGAGGATATAACCCTAAAAAGTGCTCATTGTTCTATAACTACTTGCAAATCATAGGTAAAACCTTATGATCTTCTAGGTCAAAATTTATATTTAACATTCAAGCCAAATATCATCAAAAATGGCAATTTAAAAAAATGAGTAACATTATTAAAAATGAGCTTTTAAAAATAAAAGTTAGAATTCATGTGCAAATTTCAGTTATACTAAGAGAATATATCTTTATCACTGCTCAAAACATTAAGAAGTACTCTTCAGGAACAGATAGAAATCCAGCTTACTGAGCCACAAGAAAATACCATATTACTTGAGAGGCATTTTTTAAAACTTTAGTTAGCAATATAGTTGGCAAAAGGCTTCTTCAAAAAATAAACTTACTCTTAGTGAAGATATTTAAAACATTCTTTTCAAGTAAAAAAAAAAAAAGCATTTCAAAAATTTAAGTTTTTTTTTTTAATTTAATTTTATTATTTTGTTAGTCACCATACAGTACATCATTAGTTTTTGATGTAGTGTTCCATGATTCATGTTTGCGGATAACGCCCAGTACTCCACGCACGTACTGCATTTAAATTTAAGTTGATAGCAGCACTGCTGAACTAAAGATGCTGCTCCCTACCTCCTCAGAATCCTGAGACTTTAGAAAACAGATTTTACTCTAGTCTCATTTTAAGAAAATGGACTCTCACGTTCAACAAAACACAAAACCTGCTAAAACTTGAGCGGAGGTAAGTTTCAGAAGAAGAAAATCCATGTAGAAAAGCACAAAGCTAAAGTAAACAGAGCCCTTGGGATTCCCCTCATGGGATTATTCACTTTCATCTCTCCATTTGACAACACAGGTTATAGGACATCTTCCTTCATGGGATCATTACACAATTTCTCATTTGGGGCATGGGCTCAATATGAAGCAGCATGTAATACTGGGAATAAAGAAACTATAAGGGGATCCTATAAGAAGAAATTTTTTCCTTTTTGAGTTTTCCCCTCTCAAACTTTAAAAGGCTCTGTATTTTATTTTAGTGAAAAGAGATTATTCCCAAACAATTTTGCTTTGCTCTTCAAGAAATCAAGAGATATAGATATCCTCCTTCTATCAGAGGGAGTTATTTCTTCTCAGAGGCTAAATTTAGATAAGAGATAGATAATTTCTGAACCTGAATAGATAATAAGAATAATGTCCCCAGCCAAAAAAGGCTTTATCCATTTAAGATATTTCAAAATGAGTATCTGTAGAGTACCTTGGTATATACAATTAATACGTATCAGTAAAATTAACAGTGGAGTTAGAGGACGGAAAAAGATAAAAATAAGAACAGAAGATGACAGCAGGAGGGGACAGTGGATGAAGGTTACACGGCCTCAGAAATACAAACATGAAAACAGCTTCTTCATACCTTAAACCACTTAGAGCCTAAATGACTGGTCTCATGCAATATTTCACTCAACACCTTCAGAAAGGCAGTGAGTAGCAGAATGGTGGAAAAAGATAAACAGGAAAGAGAGAAAGAAAAAGCATGCAATTAAAAGCCACTTTGGAAGACAGTTTCACAGTTCCTTACAAAGCTAACTATAGTCTTATCATAAAATCCAGCAATTCCCAGGTATTTACCTAAATGAGTTGATAATTTATGTCCATACAAAAACCTACACATAAATGTTCATAGAAGCTTTATCCATAATTGCCAAACATTGGGAGTAATCAAGATGTTCTTCAACAGGTGAAGGAACAAAGTGTGGCATGTCTATACAATGGAAAATTATTCAGAAGTAAAACAAAAGGAGTTATCAGGCCACAAAAAGACCTGGAAGAACCTTAAGTGCAAGGCTAAATGGAAAAATCATTCAGAAAAGGCTACATACTGTTATTCCACCTATATGACATTCTAGAAAAGGAAAAACTATGGAGACAGGAAAAAGATCAAGGATTGGGGAGATGGAGGAAGGACAAACAAGAGGAGCACAGAGGATCTTTGGGGCAATAAAACTATTCTGCGTGATACTGTTAACAGTGAATACATGACATCAGACATTTGGCAAAACCCACAAGACTGTATGAGATGAAGAGCGGACCAAAATTTAAGCTATGGACCAGTTAATAATGTATCAATATTGGCTCATCAATATTAATAAATCTATCACACCAATGCTAGATGTTAACAACAGGGAAAACTGAGGATATGCTTTCTTTAGTGCTAAATATAGAAAGAAAGACAAACTGGTAGTTTTTAGCCAAACTGAAGAAAAATGGAACTTTTCACAGTCTTTCAGTGCACTGTTCCTACATAAATGCCTTGTCCACTTCTAATTTGAATATTTCCTGATACACAGTGAAATAGAGCTTGGGTAGTGGAGAGCTTCAGAGAGGGGATGGTGACAGTCATTGATCCAGGGTGAAGAGGGATTTTCTTTTATCTTGATTTACCTTTTTTATATTCTTACCTTTATTTTCAAAATGTCCCCATTTTTTTCTTTCTTTAAAGATTTTTTTCTGCTTCGGGATTGTTATTTAGTGACAGGTCATACATATCATGTAGAAATGTTGGCCATTGATGATAATACATCATGTCATTATGGCATATAAATTGCTAGTATGTGTTTTTTAATTTTAAAATGTCTTCTTTTGTGAACTAGTTATAATTTATTTTTTGGGGGGTTGATTTTTATATATTTATGCGTTTATGTAATACTTAAAACAGACTTACTTTAGATCAGTTTTTTTTGTTTTGTTTTATAGTTTACAGAAAAGTTGAGCAGAAAGTACATGGAATTCCCATGTTTTCCCTCTTCCACCTCAGTTTACCCCTACTTCCTTGCTGTGCAACTACCTTAGCTCACAAGACCACAGTGGTCTCATCATGGGGGTTCCCCAAAAGATTCAGGTTACCCTCTCATTGAATTTTTTACCTTTTTAGCACATACAGTTCTCCAACAAAGAAATGGAAAGGAAACAATAACAAAAAATTACACATCATGATTCTCTAAGGGACATTCAAAACCTCCAATCACACTCACACTGGGAATTGAGATTAGAGCCTTCTCTTGTTAGAACCATTTCTTCCATTCACATTTCCCAATTTTACTTATCCTTCCTAACAAAAAGTCAAAAGCAAGTGTACAGGGATCTAAAAGACATAAAAACTATATAAAGCAAACACCACACACAGCAGCAGCAGAAGTCTTTAGCAAGTCACTTCAGGGCTGAGGCATGCTGCTCTGGGGCTCCCAAGTCCCATGATAACTATGTCCTTCATACTTGCTAGTAACCTTGTCAATATCTTGTGATAACTTTAACTGCTCTTTTGAACAAGGCAGGGTATAAAATAAACTCTTATTTAAATTTAACATTTTAACTCAAAAATGTTTGTGTTTTCCCATTCAATTTAAAATCAGGATTGTGACCAGTCTCACAACAGACAAATTCCATTCCGTCTCACCAGATACAAGAGCATATACCATACCCATATATGTGAAATAAGCCCCAATTTATTAATGCATTGACTCTTAACATGAGTCATTCTCACGCAACCTTATTTCAATTCTTTTTTAGGTTTAAATACTTACACCTGATGAAGTGCTTTTGAAACCCTCTGAACATATGTACAGCTTACCTACACTATACTGGTTGGGTTTTACCTTGTGTTTAACCAGCAGCATTGCCAGTAACTGTATGAAATTGCAGACCTGTTTTTCAGCACTGGTCCTGGCTGACTCCTCTTGTGCCAGCACCATTTCTCGCTCTGCAGTTATCTGTACACTTTCTCTTAGTGCTTCTTCCAGCTCTTCAATCCTGTCATCCTTCTTACGGAGACTGTCCTGGAAAACGATGGAAGACTAGGTGAAGTAGACTAATTAGTTAACCCAAGGAGAGACTATTTATCAAGAAAGGACTATTTGCTTATTAAATATCCTTCCCTCCAGAAGTAAATCCAAGCCAGAAAGATATCTTCACAGAGCAAAGAACAAGGGAAGAAAAGAAGTATAACAGGAGGTTGAAGTATATTATTAAGAGCAAAAGGTCAAGTTAGTTAAGCAAGAGAAATTAGTGATGGATTTGTTCTCTGTAACAGAGAGAATAAAACTGTGTTAAGCAGCATAGGCAGCAAGGGCTTGATTACTTAAAAACACAAAGCTGTTTCTGAATTACTTTCTAAACTGGGCTTTAAGCCAGCTTTGATGAAGCCTAAGTAATAAGACTTAATATCAAAACATTCTCTCCCTACAAAGTTCAGCCTTGATGAAAAAGTTAAATAGCATGATTTTTCAGATTATATTCTTCACACAGACAACTGTCAGCAAACCAATTTAGAAAAAAAAATAAATGAAAAAGAAAGTAGTTTCCTAATGATTTCAAGACATCAAAGGTTTCTCTTAATCTCATGGAGAAAACTAAAAATGGTCACTGGATATAAGTGATCAGGCTGAGGATGAGTAATTTAGTTAGCCAATCAATTCCCACTAACCTTGATATTCTAAATAAGTTTAAAAATTAACTCCTGGGAAGGCAAATATGGATTCCTAAAAGAAAGGCAAAATCCTACAGATTTTGAACATGTAAGAACATGTAAGAAAGGAAAGATCTTAAAATAAGAAGGGTAAATGAAGCAGAGTTCAAGCAGTATTAAGAATTAGATGCATCAGGTTATTATTAAGCATTTCCTCTTGAAATTTTTCTAGAACCGAAAGATTAAAAAGAAAGCGCTTTTACTAATACAATTAAATTAAAAACAAAAGGACAAGAGTCGCTGAAACACTCTCCAACTTTCAGAATATTCATATCAGTAAAAGATATCAAAGGATTTTGTCATTCATCTATGCAACTCTCATTTAATTAGACTGTAGTTCACTTTTTAAGTGTAAGACACAGAAAGTCCTTTCTAACAATCTTGTCTTCAGAAATCCAGAACTGGAAATCTGTCAAAGGTAAATCAGACTTTTCTCCTAGCACTGAAAGAATATCTTGCTATTTAACATCTTTCATAATAAAAAGTTGATAAATCTTTTGTTCTCATTTTTCTCAACTAAAAAAAATGAGATTAAAAAAATATTCACATTTCAGTAATGTATGTCACATTCATTTGTTTTTAAGTGTTCATTTTTCTAGGAGAAAATGTTATAAAATAACCTGATTTAGCCTTATAAGTAAGGTTCTCTTATAAGGGCAGTTTAGCTATACCAAAAAATGTTTTTTCTTGAAATCTTAATGCTTCCGGGTGGCCTGCCGTGAGCAGCAAAGTGCAGCTTCCAAAACAGCTGAAGTTACTGTGGAACATTTCTAAAACAATGCCAAGCAGAGAGGGACAATAGAAACAAAGTCCAACATAGTTCCTTTTGATTCAAAGAATATGAAATGCAACAGAAGGATTATGTGGAAAGAGACAGATGCAATTGTCAGTGAATTCAGTCCTCTCAAAAATTCCAATGAATAACTTTATTTGTAGTAACATGGGATTCTGAATTACAGATTGCTGTAAGCAAAAAGAAACACAAATGCTTCCTATTATCAAGTGGTTCTGAATAACACAATATTATTATGTTTTTGTCCAGTCTGCGATATTCTGTACTCTTAACACTGTCTTTGAGAGATCTCCTGAAAGGCTTCTGTTATTCTAAACTAAACTGAGGCTGAAAAACTTATCCCAGATAGCTTCCCAGAACCTATTTCAAACAAACAGGATTATCTGCTTTTCTGCACTGGCTGAAAAATAGCTTTGTGGCTTTATCAGTAAAACTTTTTTAGAGAGAGGATACTTAGTAATTTGTCATAATCCAGATAATCAGTTTTCATACTGAAAGTTTCATCAAAACCAGTACAAAAATCAGAGTCTATCCGATGAGCTCTGTGTGCAAGGCCATTTATTTAAGAAAACTTTCTGGACTTAATGGTAAAGATGGCTCAAAATCCGTGTCCATAATAAGGACAAAGAACAAAAGTCAAGAAATACCACAAATAAAAATCAGAAAACCGTTAAAATATTATTTATGAAATACTATACATTACATAACTTATAATACAATTTGAAATCAATGTAAAATAACGTATGGAACCATGCGGTCCAAGAAAGCTGTATTAAACCAGGGTAGTAACAAAAGAATGAAGACAGTGAATATTCTCATCACATTTAACACCAAGACCAGCAAAGTCTGTAACTACTTTATCCATCTAGTGAGTAAAATGTGGCTCCAGTCTTATTTTCAGAATCTTAATAGATACCTGCTAAGGTAAACCAAAGAAGTTTTCTTTGTACTGAATTACACACCTTGAATCTTTTTCATTTAATAAAATATTGAGCCGATGCCAGAAATGAATAGAATCTTTTAGTTCTACAAATACTGAGGTCCTAAGCACACTGCTAGATCATATTTATAATTATCCTTCCTTTTTCTTACATTTTCACTGAAGATTAAATATATTTATTATACTTAGACTATAATATGGGTATTCTACCTTTTTTTTTTTAAGTTTAGAATACTAGAGAGAAGATTTTTAAGTTTTAGAAAGGCCAAAAATGATTGTCCACAAAGAAAAAAAATTGGAAGGCACTGGAATTTTTTTATGTAAAACAAAGAATCAGAAGACAACTGAAGTAATGCCTTCAAAACTCTGAAGGAAAGATGCTTTCTGATCTAGAATTCTACATCCAAACTATCAATCAAATGTAAGGGAAGGATGCAAAATCAAAATCTTAAAATCACAGACTCTCTCAGAAAGCTACTAGGGATGTGGTCCATCAAACTTAAGTCAACCTAGAAAGAGGAAGACATGGGACCCAAAAAAAAGGATATCTACCATAAATGAGTAGTGAAGGGAACCTCAGGGTAACCAGAAGCCTAGAGAATAAAGAGAATTCACAGGAGAGGATAGAAACTCAAGGAAAGATGTTTCCAAGAAAAAACAGTGGATGAACAGATTACGAGGTTAATAAGTAAGGGTTGATGAATTCTCTAATTACCAACATTGAGAGGAATGTTATAGTAGGAGAAAGGAATTTGGGAATAAACTGGTGATATGTATACAAATAAATTATAAAACAAATTTAAAAACACAATGCTATTATTACCACTAGGAAAAACTAAAAGTACAGTAGAGGAAATGTAATCATAATATACTATGTGCCTGAGACATAATAATGTAAAACTTATATTAGAAAGACGGAAAGAGGGAAGTATGTGTGGTGACTTGCTTAGAAAGGCTAATTCCTCATCATTCATAGTAAGAAGTCAGTAGATAATTAATGTCCAAATAAGAAAACAACAGTAAAAAAATGTCATTTGGAGAGGTGGAAGTGTTAAACAGTATTAGAAACAAGCAAAAGGGGTGAAAGCATGCTTGTCTCAGGGGAGCAGGAATCTAGGTTAGACAAGAATGAGGTAGAGGACTATCACTTTTATAAGCCATGTAGTATTATGTCACTTTGTAAATTATATAAATAAGCACTGTTAGAAAAAAAAATTCAAAATCAAATTTTAAAATGTTGAAAGAAAAGCAGATACTGCAAATAAATAAGAATACATGAATTTCTGGAAATAGTTAAAAATGTGAAGACTATTTCAGGTATGGATACTCTAAACATATGGGTTAACCATTTACTGGAAAAAGAAAAGACTGGGCAAATGTGTCTCAAGACAGTGCCAATGGTGAAAAAAATATATGAATTTCAAGTCACTCTCTTCCTCATTTTGTTCAAAAGTTGAATTTCTTCATGCAAATAATTTGCATAGCAGGTCAAAATTATGAGAAATTCTTTTCCAGTCTTTAGGTAACCATGGAATATTCTAAATAAGAACATTTTTTTAAAGAGATAAAATATTCCAGTAAGTTCTGCTATTATTCTGAAAATACCTAATGCATAAATATACCAATAGCATATGTGTAAGACACAGCACCAAGCCAAGAGCTTTGAAAATTGTTCCCATCCCCCTTTCTGTGCAAATAGTTTCTTCTTCCTTTTTTTTTTTTTTTTTTTTTTTAAATACCTATGAAAACAGTAGTGAGTAGATTTTGGTGATAGAGTTTGATGCAAAATTCTAGTGACAGAACTGTTCATTTACACTGCACTTAGTGGTGTATTTTGGTTTGAACAAAGAGAAAAATCTCTATTCAATGCCTAAACTTTAAGTAGAAAAAGTGACGGTTATCACCCACTTCTCCAAACATGTGTAAGCCAATAAAATGTCAGTAAGGTATAGCACTTTCAGAAACTGCAAAACACAAAGGAGTTCGTATACTTCTGCTTTTGTTAACACAAGGCTGGAGGAAGTAAGGGGATATGAGAAAACCCCTGGGAAGTCCTTCTTGGTTGCTCAAATAGTGACAGTGATTACACCAGATACATCCTAAGGCTCTGCCTATATGCTGTACACATTTAATTCTATTTTCTCTTTTAAAAGGCCCACATACACCAGTCTTTAAGATAAATCATAAGGCAGTCCTGCCATTCTAAGACTTGCTGCTTTAGCTTGCAATAAAATCTTCTTCAGCTAATACATTATTTGAGTTGTCTAATACAGTTATAGAAAATACATTATTTGTGTTGTCTAATACAGCAAATACATTATTTGTGTTGTCTAATACAGCCACATGTGGCTACTGTATTAAACAACACAAATAATGAGACGTGCCATAAATACACACTAAATTTTGAAGACAGTACCAAAAAAGTCATGTAATAATCCTCACATTGATTATATGTTGAAATGATAATATTTTGGATATACTGAATTCAATAAAGAACATTATTAAAATTATTAAGTTTCCTTTTGGTTTTTTAAATGAAGCCATTAGAAAATTCAAAATTATGTATGTACCCACATTT